TGAGAGGGTACCAAATTCGGGCTCATTTCTTGTTCTGTGAGTTGGCTTTCAAGGGGGGGAAGAGGGGGGTATAAATTGGTTTTCAAGGGGCTAAAGGGGTTTAAAGGGGGTTGCCTTAGTGTGATTCTGTTGTTTTCTTTTTTATCTATGATGCAAGGAATATGAGTGTGAACGATACACAGAAAACCAAGTTGCGAAATCACACAGATGTCCATGTAGTCGTATCCAAGCAGAGAGTACAAAATGCACCGAGAAACCATCCATATAGAGCAATACAATGAAGAAATGAGTCAATGTCCAAGCCCGTAGGCCACACCAACACAGTATCCAAAGTCGCTCCTCTCTGTCTGGCGCCCGACGCACAGACCTACTCTGCCCGACTATCCTACCAACAGCTGGTTCACGCAACAGGCTCATTTCGACTCTCGAAAACCAATGTACACGACTGTCAACTCCATAGCCGACCTCTCTTTATGCACCAGGTACGTATCTCGTCACCCTCAATCAGACCTTGATTACCCCACACTCGCCTCCTTCCCTGAAGACCACTCGATCGCCCCACATTACCCCCTGGCGCCCAGCAGCCCGGCTATGGCTGCCTGTGCCCCGATGCCCTGCAGCGCCTCACTTCACCACGACGCGCCCCGTCAGCGCCCTTGGCAGCAGCGCAACATCAAGCGAGAGCACAGCAGCACTTCCGCATTGCCAGCACTGGCCAGAATGCCTGGCCTGGGCTGCCTCACTGCTTTTATCGAAGTGGCAGCCGCCTGGATGGTGCGTGTGGCCTGGCTGGAAGCTTCCAGTAGCTTCCGGTTGGGCCTCAGACCCTGCGCCCAGGCCCGAGACTACAGTTGAGGGCCTGGGCCCGTTACAGTTGGGCACGGCCTGAGCCTCCGGACTTGGGCTGTTTGCTGCTTCTGTGCAGGGCTCCCAGGCAGGTGTGTCGGCAGTACTGCTTTTGCAAAGGCCGATGGCCTGCTTCGCAATGTATCGGCTCTGCTTTGTGTGTATGTGCCCAGGTGCAACTGTCAAGACCTGGGCCAACTGTATGACGCAGCTTTGTGAGGCTCACGCGTCTACCCAACCAACTGGTGTGCTGCGAGAGCCTGAATACCCACATATGGAAATGTCGAATTTTGCTCTGACGAATATTCAGGCCCACCTTCACTTAGGGCGGGCACTTGGCTTGCTGGGGGCCTTAGCCCAGATCATGTGATGTCTGATAGGGCCCCTTGAGGGCTTGTTCCTCACACTGATTTCGTGAGGAATTCTAATGTGACCCTCAGCCAAAAGTCGTTTGTAACTTTGTATTGCAATTCTACACAACATTTGTTTTCCCCGGATTTTTTTTTT